AACATTTCTTATAAAAGTGTGAAAACTTCTCTCTAATGGATGCGTTATAAAATCGTGAAGTTAACAAGGCCTCCAAAGGGGGTGGACCGTGAGGTTCCACGTTGGTTGGAGAGGGGAACGAAGCATCCCCAATAAGGGTGTGGAAACCTCTCTTAACAGCGACGTGTTATAAAACTGTGAGGTTGACAACGATATGTAACGGACAAAAATAGACAACATCTACTATTTACACTTATGAAAAGTTATTTTCGATGAAAATGTTATCAAATCCAACATATTTTAAACTTGTTTTTGGTTGAGTATAGTATTTGTGAACGGGAAGTTCTGCAAGGACCCGAAGCTAGTGAAAGCCGAAGACTTCTTATTCCAAGGACTCAACATTCCCGGAAGCACAAACAATCGACAAAACTCAAACGTGACACTAGTAAACGTCGACCGAATCCCCGGACTGAACACCCTCGGCATCTCTTTAGCTCGTATTGACTACGCTCCATACGGGTTAAACCCACCTCACACGCACCCACGAGGCACCGAAATTCTCGTGGTCGTGGAAGGCAGCCTCCTAGTCGGGTTCGTGACGTCGAATCCAGACAACAAGCTATTCACCAAAGTGCTATACAAAGGAGATGTGTTTGTGTTCCCCATTGGCCTGATTCACTTCCAATTCAACGTAGGACATGGCCCAGCCCTTGCCTTCGCTGGCCTCAGCAGCCAAAACCCAGGCACCATCACCATTGCCAACGCTGTGTTTGGATCTAAGCCGCCCATCTCGCTTGACGTTCTCACCAAGGCCTTCCAAGTTGACGAGAAGGTCATTGAGGCTCTCCAGATGCAGTTTGAGTAGGGGATATAGTTCCTATTTTGAACCAAATAAAATGGCCATTGAAATAAAAGTTGGTGTATAATGGATTATATATGTATTTTATGTATTGAACGATGATATCTATTCCTTTGCTCGGAGTATTAATTAGATTACGTAATGCATTGGCTATGACTTCCTTTGTTGTTTCGTTTTGATACTATGTGGGTATGAATTTGTATTTTAGATAACGAAGTTTGAGTTACTTTGATCAATGACGTTCTATAGTTAATTCATACGAAGGTTGACTTAGGGTTTTCGATTTATGAAAAGATTGAACCATGCATTGGGTTGTAGGTGTGCGAGATGTGTCACAATCGCACTCTTACGATAGCAGAATAGCCGTTGTGTGGTACTTGTTGTAACTCAATGAACAAGTCAGTCGTGAGAAATTCAGATTTCAAGGACAACGTTGGAGTATACTCGAGCTCGAGCACGTGAGTGAGAATATACGTTGAAAACAATTTGATAGAAAGTAATGTTATAAGCTAAAAGTGATTAGGCAACAACGACTTTGATAGCATATAACCCGGGTAAGAGGGAGAGACAACTAGTCATATTCCCTGTAGTACATTTTGGGGCATTTTAGTTCTGGCTGGTGTAGACATGATTTTAGTGAAGGGTCATACATCTCTATATTAACACAACATGAAATAGTAAAGATCTATCTAAAGATGAAAACATGTAAAAGGGGTTTGGAACGGGCATGCTGCTATGGACAACATGTCCTTGACAAACATGATTGGAACATCCGACACGGCCATAGATAACACTCTTTGAATAAGTATGACTGTGACAAGGTGCACACCCATATATGCATGGCTCAACGGGAGGTAGACTTTTGGATCTTTTGGTCCAATAACCTCTTTATCTGCGTCCAATCTCGCCTCGAGTCATGTATACTTCTAGTTTAGACTTCATTAGTCTTTTACCCTTTTGAGTTTGTTCGTATTATCCAAATTTCGGAGCGAAAATTACTTCTACATTATCTCAAATTTAAAAATTAATTGATTTTTTTTTTTTGGCTAGATTGACCAATCAAGAGTTGGTGACCGAAAGACCAATAGAAAACTAAAAACGTAACAACTAACGTCACCTAACGTTTAACTTTTCCAATAGATTAAAAAATCTGAAATTTTATTGTATTAATTTTGTAAAAATCAATACACGTAGCCTACCAGCTTCTGCCTTGATTTGTCCTCGAACCACCTGTAGATGTATCGTTTTGATATCATTTGTTATGACCCATATACAGGACTCGGGATCAGGATTTGAAATATGGACTCGACATCTGATGACCCCAATATTCCCTACATCCTTTGCGACATGGTCATGTATCTACATTCCCCGTTTCTTAGAAGTGAAGACTATCCCTACAAACCAACATGAGTCTTTCCAACATGTTTTGTCCTCACTCACATGCATCTTAGGAAAATTTTCAAGTAAAACACGCTTAACAATGAAGTTCCTATGATTGAGTCACTGAAAAGAAACGTGTACCTTATTAATATAGACAGTAACTTTCAATTCTTTTATACTCATCCTATCCTTATGATCGTTCTCATTCAGATATAGTCTTGACTCATTGATATACTTCTGATTTACTCAGAAGTCTCCTATCTCATCTACGGTTAGTATTTAAAGTCAGATTATCCAAATATAAACAATTACAACAACAAAATAACAACAAAAACTACAATATTTTTCACCTCAAACAAAATTTTTATAACATTATTTAAGAAAAAGAATTCAAACACTAAAATTAATATTTTGAAACTTGGAGAATCCAATGATCATAACAAAAAAAAAAAAAAAAAAAAAA